GATGCCCCGCTTTCCCCCGACGCGGCTCGGCTCCTGCTCTCATTCCCGCTTCAGACACGCCGCCTCCTCGGACTTTCCTGCCGCCCGCGTCTCCCCCTGCGCAGGCGCTTGGAGAAGAAGAGGGGTCCCTTTCCTCACCCTCCAGCTTCCCTTTGGGAAGTTCATGCCTCGGCCACTCCCCGTTCCTACATCAAACGCCCGTCAGGAAGCCCTGGTCCCACGCACTCACGTGGCTCTGGCTGGGCTCAGGCGGACAGAGGCCACGTGGAAAATCCACGGACGTGTCTGGGTCAGTGACGGCGACAGACCCCTTCCTGCCTCGTGGAACGATGGGCACTGGCCACACAGGGCTCTTCCACCACAGAGGGGCCGGGCCAGGCCGGGAGGTGGCACTCAGCCCGGGGACAGCCTCTGCAGCCCCCCGAGGGCCCCCCGCCGGCTCCGGGAGCCACAGGCAGAGCAGGGGGTCCTCTTTATCTATTAGACACGCCCGCCCTCTGGGCTGGACGCCCCCTAAAGCAGGGAAACGCAGAACCCCACGGAGCACAAGTCTTTCTTGGCCACGGCTTGACCTTCAACAACACTGAAGCTCATCCTGAGCCCGGAGGTCGAGACAGCCACACCTGGGTTCACACGCCATCGGATACCCATGTGGACCCGCCCGTCCGGGCCCTGAGGGCACGGTGTGCCTAGGAAACAAGGACGGCAGTGAGCCTGCGAGACGGAGCCTCCTGTGCTCAGGGAGGCGGACACAGAGCGGCTTTGTTCCCCGCTGCGGCCCGGGACAGGGCACGCTCCCCTCTGCCTGCCCACCGTGCCCATCTGGCGCCACTTCTCCCACCCCTGCCAGCAGGCGTCAGCCTGAGCTGCCACCGTCCGGAGGTGCCCCTGGCGTTCTGAACCCCCGTCCCCTCCTCACAGCCGCACAGCCAGTGCCCGGCCCCGGCCGGAGGAGCGGGCGTCTTTGCCCTTCTCCTCTAGGACTAGAGTGTTCTCCGTGGTGCCCGGCCGGTGTGGCTCAGTGGTTGAGCGTCGACCTATGAACCAGGAGGTCACAGTTCGATTCCTGGTCAGGGCACATGCCCAGGTTGTGGGCTC